CTGCCTGAAAATTCGTTTCTCTGGCCTTTCGGACGAAGGTAAGCGGTGCCAATGGGCCGTTCTGGGGAGCCGGAGCGGCGGGGTCCCCGAGGAACCCGAGGAAGGCAAGGAAGTCGCGGCAGGATAAGCACCCGGGTGGATTGGGGTGAGGGAAATCCTTTTCTTGGGGGGGGGGGGGGGGAGGGTGTGGAGTGTCTGACGCAGGAGGGGGGTGTAGCGACTCTCTGTCTCCTTGGTTAAAGCTGGCCAGCTACATAGAAGTACAAACGCGGTGGGAGGAGGCGGCACCGAGGGGCTAAGGTCGACGTCCTCTCGGGCTACGACAAGGTGAACGTGATCTGGTCCTCACGGGGTCGACCCGTCTCCTCCCCCCGGGCGTGACGGACTCCGTGGCAGCGTACGGTCGGACAGAAAGGAATTTTGACTACTGACCAGCTGACAAGTTTCTGTAGCGCGACTCGGAGTTGCTATGTCGGCCTCTCTCGCCTGGAAGAGCCCCCCCTCCCCTCCCCCCTCCCCCTTCCCTGTCCGGCCAACGCGGAGCACATACCCTCTTGCTACCCCCTGCAGGTGAGGGAAAGGCACAACTCAGACCGATGGGCTTGCCCATCCCGGAGTGGTTCGATCCCACACAAACCCGAGACGGTGACGGGAGCTATCTGATGATCTCAGGCCCGATTGGAGGGTAGTGCGTCGGATTGCCTGGATCCTGCTGAACAAGCTCCTCTTGTAGCTCGATCGGTCACACCGCCATCGCCGTCGGGGAGAGGGGGGACGACACTGCTTCGGCAGCGTGCACCTCGATCCTGTACCGTGTTTGTTATGACCCCCCCCAATGAACATACCAGTGAGGGAGGGCGAGACGATCGAGGGGTCCCGTACCACGCGGAATCGACCCTATCCAGTGCTCAAGTGCTCAAGTCGCCGTATCGGGGCACGCTATCCTGTGCAGTCAGGGCAAGTGGGGGCGAGGCGCAGTCCCGCTGGTCTGATACTGGTGTGGTTCTGTCCTTAGTCTCGGAGGGGGCCTTTAACAATATTTTATTTTGATTTTTTTCTCTCCTGAGATATTTGCTGCGGCGACCACCCCTTTTGCGCAGCAACACCTTAAACTTTTCAGGCCCTCCAAATTCGGGTCGGAGCGTAGCGGAGTGGGGCCCGAGTTTGAAAAGGGCGACGGACGCTTGCGTCCTAGCCTCCAACAACGCCTCCCCGGCGCAGAGGGGCCCCCGGAGGGATGCACAACCGACCCGCGCCACGCCGCTTGCGGCGGTCCTCTTCCCAGCTCCGCTGAGGCCCGTGCATTTTTTTTTCTCTCCTGAGATAGAGCTCTATTTGCGGCGGCGACCACGCTGTGTTTCGCTCGCTGTGTTCGCTCTTGCTCCAACGCGACAGCAAGCACGATCCCAGACACGGCTAAGAGGTCTGAGAACCACCTGTGCTCCGACGAGGTTCTCAATGGACTGCTGTAATGAGGCTCAACAGTCCTTCCTCCTCAGCTTCCTCTGCTTCGTCGCTACAACCTTCTTACTGTGGCGAACGCCGATCTTCAAGCCGCTCAAGCTCTTCGCCGTGTTTCTGCACGAATTCTCGCACGCGACGGCGGCCACGCTCTGCTGCCAACGGGTGACGGGCATCGAGGTAGCCTGGAACGAAGGCGGCCTCTGCACGTACTCCGTGTCGCAGCGACGAGTGTACTTTATCAAGTGCATGGTGCTCCCGGCGGGGTATCTCGGTTCAACGCTGTGGGGCTGCGGGCTTGTCCTCGCCACCGCTTGGCCTACGGGCGCCAAGGTCTGCGGATGCGTGGTGGTGGTCGCGCTGGTTATCGCGCTCTTCTTTGCGGTCTGCGGCGTTGCTAAGGGCCTGAGCGAGCGCTGTCTCCTCATCGGCCTCGCTACCTTTTTCGGAGTCGTCGTCGGCGCGCTCACTGTCCTCGACTTCACCCTAGACACGACAGAGACCTCCTACGCACTGGAGACGGCTTTGCTGTTCATCGGCG